ATTTTTATTATTATAAATATTATTTTTAATTAAATTGAAACAATAATATATTATTAAAAATTAAAATGACGTTTATAAAAACACTCTTATTTAAACAAGATAACTTGTATTTCATTTAATAATGACAGACTCCTCATATACTGGAATTGATTTAGGAAGTTGTACAATTGAAGTTGCATATTTTAAAGTTAATAATAGAATAGTTGAAAATGCAAAGTTTAGTACAGGGAAATGTTATTATCCAACATTCTATGGATATAATGCTAAAACAAAAAAAGAGTTATATGGTGATGAAGCTAAACGAGCATTATCTAAAAAAGGAGTAACAGTTGCTTATGAATTTAAGAGATTTATTGGAAAATTATTTGATGATAAAGTTATTGAAAAAGATATTAAAAGAGTTCCATATAAGGCAGTTAAGATGGATGACTCATCCATTGGTATTCAAATGGATGTAGGAAAAATTATGTCTCCAATAGAAATATATTCTAAATTATTAAAGGCAGCTATAGATGACTTAAAAACTAATCAAATTAGTCTTGAAAATGTTGTTGTTACTGTTCCACTTTCTTTTGGTGAAAATGAAAGAGAAGCAATTAAACACTTATTTGACGATTTTTCACTTGACAACTTAGAAGTACTAAATGAGTCAACAGCAGCTGCAATTGACTTTGGATATGGTGATTTTAAAAACCAAAAAAAAGATGGTAATTTTGTTGTATTTGATTATGGAGGAGGGACATTAGATATTAGTGTTATTCAATACGTTCTTGACAACAAGACAAATAAACACAATTTTAATGTTTTAGTTCATGGCGGTCTCATGAATAATGGTGGTAGTGATATAGATGAATTAATTGCAAAACACGTAATTTCAGAAATAGAAGAAGGCATCTATGAACTAGATGACATTGATGAAGAAATTGATTTCCTCCAGTCTAAGATTGGAAAGTCTAAACTCAAAGTTGAGTGTGAAAAATGTAAAATTGTTCTTTCTTCTCAAAATTCGTATACCTTCACATTACCACAATCTGATGAAGATGCTAGTGAAGTTGAATTTACCATTTCTCGTGAAGAATTTGAAAAAATTTGTTCCCCTCTTTTTAAAGAAGCTGTTAATGAATTAATTGCAGTTATTGATAAGGCAAATGTTCCAATTAATGAAATTCTTATGGTAGGTGGTACTTCTTCTATTCCATTCATTTCTCAAATGATTCAACAAAGTACTGGTGTAAAACCAATTGTTTCTGACCATCCATTATTTTCAGTTTCAAGAGGGGCTGCACTTAAAAGTGCAGAATTTCCGATTAATTTATCTAGTACAGAAGTTGCTACTTATTCAGTTGGAATTGCAACATATAATCAATTACTTGGAATTAGAACAGTTCAAACAATTATTCCTCAACAAAGTAAATTACCATGTAAAAACAAATTTGAATTTGTGGTACCTAACGAAAATCAGAAAACTATTCAACTTGATTTATATAGAGATACAAGTATTCCAATTCCAAGTAAATTTATTGGAAGTGTGTGCGTTGATATTATGGATAAGTGTCATAAAGGAGATAGAGTTGATTTGTTAATCAAAATGAATCCTGAAGGAATATTAAATATAACTATTGAATTACCACAATCACTTCTATCTTCTAAATATGAAGCGGAAGTAAAAATTAAGCACAGATAATTTTAATAATAAGCTTTAATAAATTTTTAATTTATTTTTGGTTTCAAGATAAAACTATAAATTGTTAAAATTTAATAAATGCAAAATAATACTGATACTTGGGATATTCGTACTAAATTATTAGTTGGAGAAGACAATTATAAGGTTATTCAAACTAAAAGGTTTTTGATTATTGGTAATCATCCATCTTTGTCTTATACAAGTGAATATTTAATTCGAGCAGGGGTAATTAATTTAACTCTATATTATCCAGAAATGAACAATGATATTTCACTCTCATTACATGCATTCACTGTTGATCAAAAGAATGAACAAGAACAATTATTATTGATTAATCCTGAAGCAAAAATTACATTAATTAATAAACCATATGATTCAATGTTAATGAAAACATATATTTCTTCAAATGACATCATTCTAATAGGAATAGAAAACCAAAAGTTTGCAGTTGAGGCATGTAAAATAGGACTAGAATTTCAAAAGAAAGTATTTTGTGTTCTTGGAGGTTATGGGTTATTTGATTCAACCCAAATTCAAATAAAAAATATTGAAAGAGTAAAAAAAAGTAAATTAGCAACTGAATTTAAATCAGCATTATATAAAGAAAATATTCGTCGTAATGTTAGATGTATTTATGGAGAAGATGGTCAAGGAGAAGGTGGCCTACCTTATATTTTTTCTGTAATGGGTATTTATCTTGCTTCTCAAGGAATTGACTCAATAATAACCAGAAGACCAATTCAATTACGTGCAGAAAAACCTGACCAAAAAGAAAATGAAACTAAACAAAAAAAACAAGAGAAATAAAAAAAGATAATTGATTGAGTATTTTCAATTAATAAAATTAAGAGAAGTTGGTTTTTAATTGTTAGAATTATCATAAAATTCTATATTAATATAGTTTAATTAATATTTTTTTATTAAATTAGTAATAACACTAAAAAATACTTATTTTTAGAATTACTTATTATTTTAGTTAAAAATTCTTTTTTTTTTAAACTTATTAACCTTTATGCTACTATTCGTTTTTGTTGTAACATCACTCTCTCAAACAACAAAATGTTTGTTCTCTTTTTAAATACAAATGACATTTTATTGATTAAATTAGGTCCTGAAGAATGTACCTCCTGTCGTTGGGGTTCTTCTTATTGCGAGAATTGTAAGTATAATTATAAGTTGATTGATGGTGTTTGTAAGGCTTGTGGCGACTATTTTCCTCATTGTAAAAAATGCAATTCACCTGATAATCCCTGGTACATTAGTTGTGGTTTATGTGATGATGGGTATTATCTTAGTGGTAATACGTGTGTCGGTTTGTTACTTTCTTGGTTTAGTTTTAAAAATTCTTTTTAACAAAGTCTCATTTTTAGAATGTCCACCAAACTGTGAGGATGGACTTTGTTCAAATGAAGGTGTTTGTTATAAATGCGCAAATAACACAATATTTAATGGTGACAGAGAGTGTGTTAGTTTAAATGCTACACATTGTAAAACAGCAGAAAACGGTTTGTGTACTTCTTGTGAAAGTAAGTATCGGCTCGTTAATAATAAGTATTGTTTAGAATCTGTTGATTGTTGGATAGGTGCTATTAAAGTGGAGGAGGGATTTTGTATTAGCGCTAGTGATGCCCACTGCCGAGGATATGGTAATTATCAGTGTTGGGATTGTATGACAGGGTATATAAAGAATGGAAGTTATTGTACACGACTAGAATATGTTGACGAAAAATGTAAGGCATCAAAAGTGTTATATGGGTCTACTGTTTGTTCAGTCTGTGAGGATGGTTTTTATCCAAATGGTGTTAGTTGTTCAAAGTGTTCTGATATTGTTGGGTGTTCAAGTTGTATGACTCAAACAACATCAAAACAACTTATTGTTAAAGAGTGTTCAAGTTGTTCATCTGGATATTTAGAAAATAATCAATGTATCACAATACCAAATTGTAAGGTATATAAGTCTAATACATGTGACACTTGTTTAGATTCTTATATTTTAGAAAATAATAATTGTGTTGCTGCATCAACAAAAAACTGTAAAAGAAGTACTGAAAATAATTGTGTTGAATGTGCTGATGGTTATTATTTAACTTCATCTTCTCTTTGTCAGTCTTGTAGTACTTTCAATGGAAATGGTAAGTGTTATGCATGTAATATTACATCATGCAGCTTATGTGGTAGTGGTATGACAATTGATAATGGAATGTGTCAACCTTGTTCTGTTTTACCTCATTGTAAGTTGTGTGACTCATCAAGTAATAAATGTTCTATGTGTGAGAATGGATATTATCTATCAAATAGCCAACAATGTGTTAAATGTCCAAATTCATGTGCTTTATGTTCATCAGAGAATGAGTGTTCTGAATGTAACACAGGATATTATTTAGATGGAATTACATGCAAAGGATGTAGTACCATTGATGGGTGTCAAGATAACCAATGTACAACAACTGGACTATGTACTAAGTGTGTGAGTAATTCGTATATATTAGAGTCAGGACGATGCACTCTTTGTTCTTCTAAATACCAAAATTGCTCTACTTGTAATTCAACTTCATGTCTTAGTTGCAATTCAGATAATTATCCAGCGTCTCAAATTCATTGTTTATCATGTGATTCATTATCTGGTTGTAGTGACTGTAGTCAAACAGAAAAGGCATGCAACAGGTGTGTTAGTGGATTCTTCCTAATTGGTAAAACATGTAAGACGTGTTATCAAATAGATCCTAATTGTGAGTCATGTAGTTCAACTACAAATAAATGTTCTGTTTGTAAAGAAGGTTATACGTTATTAAATTCAGTTTGTACTTTATGTTCTACAGCCATTCCTAATTGTGATACATGCTCTCCATCAGAATTAATTTGTAATTCATGTAAAAATGAATACTATTACCCTAATATGTCACAATGTCTTCCATGTTCCAAACTAACTGATAATTGTGCTGTTTGTTCTAGTGAAAGGAAATGTCTTGGTTGTGAAACATCAAAGAATGTATATTTAAATACAACAACTAATACATGTGACTCTTGTCATAATATTGAAAATTGTGAAACTTGTGATTCTAATGGGAGATGTAATAAATGCAATTCAGATAAGTTCCGTATTTCTGATGGAAAGTGTATTAATTGTAATGATGGTACTGATTTTGTTGGGTGTTCTAAATGTGATCCTTCATCAAGTACAATATGCACAGAATGTGTTGATGGATATTATCTTCACTCTTCTCAATGTTTAAAATGTTCTTCTAATTGTGTCAAATGTGAGTCTTCATCTTGTTCTATGTGTGCATCAGAATTTTTGAATATCAATGGTAGTTGTGTTAGTTGTATGTCTGTAGGATGTTCGAAATGCGATTCTACTCTAAATACATGTTCTAACTGTAGCGATGGATTTTCTTTAATTAATGGGTCTTGTGTTGGTTGTAGTAATATCACTAATTGTAAAGTTTGTTCTTCCAATATTTGTTCAGAATGTAATACTGGGTATTATCTCAATGAAAATGTATGTAATCCATGTGGTGATTCATGCACTGATTGTAATAAAACAAATAATACAATAGTATGTAATGAATGTTCAGAAAGATATTATTTGTCTTCAGGTACGTGTCATAATTGTGGTGACAATTGTCTTTCATGTGATGATACCAAATGTTTGAACTGTGAATCTTCATATACACCTAATACAAAAAAGGGATGTGGGTCATGTGGAACTGTTATTAAAGGATGTGTAAAATGTTCAACCACCTCAACTGAATGCATGGAATGTTCACCAGGATATTATTTAGATGCAAAGACATGTGTTCAATGTAATATCAATGACTGTGTCACTTGTTCTGGACCAAGTACATGTACCTTGTGCTCTAAAAACACTGTATTACAAAATGGTGAATGTATTACATGTCCTAGTGGAACAATTATAAATGAAGATAGTACTAAATGTATCCAATGTACCCATTATATTTCGAACTGTAGTTTCTGTAGGTCAAATACAGAATGTTTTATATGCAATGATGGATTTTATTTAACTAGTGATGGAAAAGAATGTAAGCCTTGCAATGGGAAAGTAATTCGACCAAATGAGTGTGTAGAAGCTCCAGAACATTGTACAATTTATATCTCAAATACAAATTGTCTTAAATGTGAACAGCATTACGTTTTAAGATCAGGAAAATGTACATTATATTCTAATGAAGAGTATTGTATCCAACATGACAGTGAAGACGAAGTTGGTTGTGATAATTGCTTAGCTTCTATTTCTCCAAGTGGTATTTGTGATGCATTTACAAGAACTACCTCATTATCTTTTTTTAATCAAACTTTAGGTGAAGGAGTAGGTTATTACGAATCATCGACTATGCCTTCTTATAAAAAAGAAACATCCAGTTGTTTGTTTGAGTGGAGAGGAAAGTGTTGGAAGTGTAATGATGGATATTACATGAATAGTGAGAATGTGCCTCAATGCAATATTTGTAATGAGACATGTGGAAGTTGTGTTTTACCCTCAACATTAGAAGGAACTAAATGTCTTAATTGTAGTTCTTCTTCTGGAGATATAGATGGAAATAGTATTATTCCAATTTGTTCTAGCGATAGTCATTGTACTCAATTTAAAGGTGTTACTTGTTCCTCTTGTGAAAAAAAGTATTATTTGAATAAAAACAAATGTACTATGTGTCAGCCTAATTGTGACAGTTGTATTCCTTCTTCTATATCAACAATATGTCTTATATGTTCTTCTGGTTACTATAAAACAAATGATGGATTATGCAAGAAAGCCCAAGACGATTGTGCCATTATTTCATCAACAACGACAACATGTGAAAAATGTGTTGAACGAAAAAAATTAGATGAGAATGGAAGTTGTGTTACTATTACTGAAGAAAATTGTGGGTTTGTTGTTGAAGGAAAATGTAAAGAATGTTTAGAAGGATTTAATTTGATAAAAAATGATGCTGGGTCTTGGGTATGTAATGCAAGTCCAAACTTTAATTTTTGCACAGCCACAACAACTACTGGTTGTTTGAGGTGTGAAGAAGGGAAGTTTTTAGACCAAGATAATGTATGTCAGCCCTGTGATATAAATTGTGCTACCTGTTATGGAAATACAACCAACTGTACAACATGTAATTTTGGATATAAATTGACAAAAAATAATACTTGTGAATCACTTGGTTCTTTGGTAGAAAGTTGTTTAACATTTTTCCCGGATGCATCTGGTTGTGCAATATGCAAAGATGGCTTTTATCAAACATATAAGAATTGTGCTGAATGTCATGAGTCATGCCTGACATGTAATCAAAATGCCTTCAATTGCCTTTCTTGTAACTTTACTGGAGGTTATTATTTTGATATAGAAACGTCAAAGTGTTTGTCCAATGACACATTAAAAAATTGTACTGCCTCAGAATATGATGGTTGTGTGGCATGTGAGAAAGGTACATATTTGTCATTAACTTATAAAAAATGTTATAAGTGTAGTGAGAGTTGTTTCCAATGCACTAATTCAGCAAATCATTGTACTGAATGTAATGAAGGCTTTGTATTATCTGATGGTCAGTGTAAAAATTATTTAGATATTCCAAATTGCCTTTCATCATCTAACTCAAAATGTACATCATGTAAAGGATGGTATGAGCCAAATAAAGATGGTTCAGGGTGTGAAACTACAGTCAGTAATTTGATTCTTATTTGTGTTCCAATAGCAGGGTGTTTAGCAGTCATAATTATTATAGTATTGGTTGTCATTTTTCTCATATTTATTATTCAAACAAGAAGAAAGAAAAAAGAAAGAGAGGAGAAGATTTGTGAATTTGACATGAGCCGTTGTAATATGTTATTTGAAGATGTAGATAAAGAAAGTGGGTTATGTGTTAATAAAAAAGAACTTACATTTACTATTGATAGAATGAGTGACACCATTCCAGTTGGAGAAGAGTCAAGGGATTTATTATGTATTGGAAATAAAAAATCTCATACACTAAAAGTTCAAATTACTACTAAAACGAATATTGACAAATATTATATAAGAAGTGACCCTTCACTAATTACTATCGATAAAGGAAAAGCAGTTGAATTTAGTATATTCATTAAGCCATTATGTACAACAACAATAGATGATTCTCTTGTTCTTTTAGGATTAGATATGAAGAAAGGAAAACAATATGAATCGCGTATTGGTATTTCCTTTAAAACAGAATTAACAACACGACTTGATTATGAAGAACTTAAGGAAGAAAAGAAATTAGGAGAAGGGTCATTTGGAATAGTATATCTTGGAAACTTTAGAGGAAATGAAGTAGCAATTAAGAAAATGAAAATATCTCTTAATGAAGAAAAACAAATGGAAGAATTTGAGAAAGAAGTGAATATGTTAGACAAATTTAGAAATGAATATGTCATTCATTTCTATGGAGCTGTATTTATTCCTAATAAAATATGTATGGTAACTGAATTTGCTAAGTATGGGTCATTAAGTGATTTAATGCATAAACACTCAAAAAGAATTGAAAATAATATGATCACTAAATTGCTTTCTGATGCAGCTCATGGAATTCAATATCTTCATCAAAATGGAATCTTGCATCGAGACATTAAACCAGATAATTTCCTTGTTGTGTCGCTAGAAAATAATATACAAGTTAATTGTAAATTAACAGACTTTGGGGCATCAAGAAATATTAATATGTTAATGACAAATATGACATTTACTAAAGGAGTTGGAACACCAATGTACATGGCACCAGAAGTATTGAAAAAAGAACATTACAAATTACCTTCTGATATTTATTCATTTGCTATTACAATGTATGAAGTATCAATTTGGAGAAATCCTTTCCCAAAAGAACAATTTAAATATCCATGGGAAATTGCAGATTTTATAAGTGAAGGAAAACGACCAAGAAAAGAAGATATCATTGATGATTGGCTCTTTGATCTGATTGAACATTGCTGGAATCAAAATCCAAAAGAAAGGTATAACGCCAATCAAATTGTTGATGTTTTTATAAAAAATCTGCAAACGAATTAATTTGTATTTCTCCTCAATTTATATTACACCTATATAGTATTTATTTTAATAAATTATTGTTCACTTATGAAATTTAAGGATGGAGTGAGACTATACCCCATCTCTTAGGATATTGTTTTCTAAAACTTAACTAACAATAAATGTACCAAAGTATTTAATTGCAATTTCTTATTATTTAAATTCAAAAAGAGGTTATTAAAAATTATTAAACTTGATCTTACTTGTATATTTTAGATTCTTCTCTTTTGTTTTATATATTATAAAAGAAATAACCACATTGTTGTCATACCCTTTTTAGTTCGTTCTTATCACTAAAGAAATACGTTAATAATGATTTGAAAAGTCAATCAAAAAAAGTGAAAATCATTTAATAATTACTAAAATAAAAAAATTTTTTTTTGGTTCTTTTATTACATAAGATAAAAATAAAATTACTGTTTTTAATTAAAAAAGAAGAGAACGATAGAAACCAATAATAAAAATAAGTAAGGAATTGAAACAAAGAATTGCTAGAAAAAAATTAAAATCAAAGCAATGAATGTTTCTATATTATCAAAATAGTCTAATTAAAAACATTTAATTTTTAAACAAAAGAAGGGTCTAAAAAATTTTAAATGGTTCTTTTGTTTGTCAGTTACTTCACTTATTTTAAAACATTTTAATCACTAATACAATAGACCTCTTCTTTTTTTGTTTACCTATGCTGTTGATGTCAATGAAACAGAATTCAACAGAGAAATAGTTTGTGGAGATGGCAGATGGGATTCTTACAATGAAGAATGTGATAGCACTGCTGGGTGTGGAAATGACTGTTTATGTATAGAAGGATACAACCCTGATGGAAAGGGACATTGTATTATTTCTTGTATGTATGGAGACGCGTGTGTTACCGGTTGTCTTGCCCCAGATATATGTGAAGTATGTGACGAAAGTTTAGGATATACTGCTGATTGTCAAGGGTGTAATGATACATACATGTGGTATGGTGAAGGAAAATGCAAAGAAGTTCAAATTGACAAAGTAAAAGGATGTGGTGATGTGTTCACTAGTTCCAGTGATACCTCTCAGTACGAAATTAAATTAGAATTTACAAGTGCTATGAAACAAATTAAAAAAGAGATTGTTCCAGCAGCTCCTGAACAATTATATATCAATAGATGTACTCGTTATGTACATCCAACTAAACCATATACTTATGGACAATACTTAAAAGTAACATTACCAGCTGGACAAGAAAATACATATATTTCCATTGCAATTGATAAACAGTATAATAGAGATGATTTAGTTCTTGCTCAACTTCAAGAACAAAAAGAAGGAAGTGAATTTGGAATTATAATTCAAGAAGATTGTATTAGTGGTACAAATCTGAGAGACAAAGTTAATTGTTTATATAGAAATGGAGGATTAAGTGAATACATTTTATCTCCCAGGGTTGTTACTTGGATGAATGCTGACTCAACTCAATATATCTTTGTTCATAAAAAATATGCATCATCTCCAATGACTAAATTTCAAATTTTCTTTACTAAAGTTAAACACCCCTGTTCTAATAATTATTATGACATTGATTGGAATGATATTGCTGGTGATGGATATTCAAGGATAGTTAATTTAGAACATACTCTTAACTCTCGTTCTATTTGTTCTAAAGATCTTATTAAAGGATTTTGGTTTAGAATTAAAGGTGCTGAACAAACAATTGTTATTTCTACTTGTCAATCAGAAAATTATGACGTTTCTTTAGATCTTCTACAAACTAAGACTGATACTTCTACTGCTGAAGCAGGATCAATTAATTGTGAATCACCTGATTCTGTTGAATGTGTTAAGTCACGTTCAGATGGATGTGGAACTAATTCTAAATTAGCTAAAATGGTTGTTACTTTATCTGAAGACAATACTTATTACTTGTTTCTTGGAATAAATGAAGAGTATTCTGCAGAAGTACTTTTAACAGTTAACACTACTTGTCCTTTAAGTTGTGGTGAAAATGGAATTTGTTCTGCTTATTCTGGTAGATGTGAATGTAAACCTGGATTTGTTTTTAAAGACGATGGATGTACAGAATGTGGTAATGGTGTTGTTGATGCTAATGAAGATTGTGATTTGTCTTCAGGTGTTAATGATACACAGTGTACTGAGTCATGTAATTGTGCTTATGGTACTAAGCCAATGTCTCTTTCATACAATGGAAAAACTGAAATTAAATGCGCAGTTCCAACATGTGGAAATGGAAAAATTGAT